GGACGAGAGCGCAAGACCCGGAAAGACCCATTCACAGGGTGAAGTTTCTTTTTAAGTCATTGTTTTTAATCTTGGTCTTGCTGTTCTGCTTTCTATTCTATAACATGAATTTCAGTTTTAAAATGAAACTCACATTTCCTCTAACACTCAAGCACAATTGATCTGCAAGAAAATGCCTGTGTAGACTATTGCTTCAGGACTTCAAGCTTCTAGTCCCAGAAGCCAGGAACCCAGCTGAAATGCACATTTCTCCATGTTTCTTTGAGATCTTCTTTTTTTCATTAGTATATGTTTGCAGTTATTGTGAGGAGTTGATACATGGGCATACTACACCTTAGTTTTTTTTGTCTACTTTTTAAATCCTTTGTCCTGAGTCCTCCCTACTCCTTCCAACTCTTGGTCTTTTTCTTATTTACAAAGTTCTATTTTCACTCTTTTTTCTTCAAGTCATGTTTTTCATCCTCTTTCCTTCCCCATCTTCTTCCTTCTCCAGCTCTTGCTCTCCCAGCTCTTTGAGACAGATCTCCTTACCTGCTGTTTACCTATCTTCCATTTTCATACACACACACACACACACACACACACACACACCCATATAATCTCAGCACTCAGGAGGCTGAAGAAGGGGATTGTTGTGAGTTCCAAGCTAGCCTGGGTTACATAGGCAAACCCTATCTAAAGAAAAAAAAATTATATATATATATATATATATATATATATATATTATATATATATATCATGCAATCTTTTTTAATGTATTTAATATAGGGTCTCACTACACAGATTGGACTCATAGTGATCCTCCTGTTTTCAGCTTCCCAAATGCTGGGATTCCAGGGGCGCACCACCACATCCAGTCTCAGTCACTGACTCAGCGTGCCCTGGAGGCAGGGCCAGCCTGGCAGCCTGGGGTTCACTGAGCCTGCCTAAGCAGGTGCTTTAGTCTGCTGAGCTATCTGACCAGTCCTCAACCATGCAGTCTTTAGGTTTGCATGCTTGATTTGTTTCACCTAACATTGTGGTCTCAAGTTGCCTCTACTAACCTGCAAATGCCTCAAGTTTACCTTGGGTTTTTTTTGTTTTTGTTTTGTGGTTGTTTGTTTGTTTGTTTTTGTACTCAGGATCTAGCTCAGGACCTAGCACTTGCCAGGCAAGCACTTAAGCCACTGAGCTATTTCCTCAGCCAAGTTCACCTTTCTTAATGGCAGAGTAGTACTCTAATGTGTGTAAATACATTCTCTTTACCCATTTATCTGTTGATCAGTGTATAGACCATTTCCAAAAAGAACTATTATAAATCACGCTATCGCAAACATGGATACGTGGGTGTCTCTCTAAGAGGATGTATTTAACTCTTTCAGGAAAATACCAAGAAAGGGAATAGATGAGGCAAATGGAATTTCTAGTTTTAGTTTTTTAAAGAATCTCTACATGATTTTCTTAACAGTTGCACAAGTTTATATTCCCTCCATCAATGTAGATAAATTCCTCTATCCCCAAATCTTCACCAGCATTTGTTATCACTTGATTTTTTGATGGTAGGGCTTTTTTCTGAAGGTGACATTTAAATGTTGTTTTAATTTGCATTTCTCTACTGCATGCTGAGATGGCAATTGAGAGCATGGTGGCGCGCCTGTAATCCCTGCTCTTGGGAGGTTATAAACAAGCAGATCACTGAGAGTCCAATCTAGAAGTGAGGCCCTGAACACCCTGCAGACCCTTCCCTAAAATACAGAAAATAAACAAAATAAAAAATTATTTATTTATTTGGTACAAGGTCTTGCTACACAGCTCAGACTCATAGTGATCCTCCTGTCTCAGCCTCCCCAGTGCTGGGATTATAAGCATGGACTATCATGCTTGGTTTTGGTGGCCAGCAGGGTGCTTCCAGGGTTCTGGGCCACACAGCATGCAGTACTGGGGATTGAACCTGGGTCCTTGTACTTGCCAGGCAGGCATTTAGACCACTGAGCTATTTCCCCAGCCCCATATCTATTCATTTTGATTGGATCTTTTACTTTGGAGGTTCTAACGATTTTAGTTCTTCATGTATTCTAGATATTAGTCCTGTGTCTGAGGAATAGCTGGCAAAACCTTTTTCCCTTTCTATAGGTTGTCTCTTCTCTGTTAGTTGTTTTCTTTGCTGTTCAGAAGCTTTTTTATTAGAGGTCTTTTTTTTTTGTAGAGGTCTTTTCACTCCCTTGGTTAGATTAATTCATGTTTTTCTTTATGCTGCTGTGAATGGTATTGTTTTCCTAATTTCTTTCTCTGAGTTCATTATTAATGTATAGGGATGCTACTGAAGGTTGTGTGTTTACTTTGTTTCCTGCTACACTGTTGATTTTGATAATTAATTCTAGGTGTCTTTCGGTGGAATTTTTTCAGTCTTGTAGGTACAAGATCATGTCATTTGCAAATAATATTACTTCGACGTCAATGTTTCCAACACATAGCCCTTTATTTCTTCCATTTGTTGGTTGGTCTGGCTAATGTTTCAAGGACAATACTGGAGTGGTGACAATGTACATCCTTATCTTGTGCCTGACTTTAGAAGGCAAGCTTTCTGTTTTTCCTGTTTGCCTCTGCAGCTATACACCTCCAAGCAGCTTCCTGCTATCCAGTCAGACTCAGTAGTGATGGTCACATTCTTTACAATTTCAGCATATTTGCTTACATTATTGTCCCAACCTAGAACGTGTTTCTTCCCCAACTACTTATTTATCTTCTCAACTCATCCAAGAAGCCACCTTGCCCTAGGAAACTCTCCATGACAAACTGCAAAAGGCTGAATTACCCACCCCTGCTGTTATGCAACCAAAACCTAGACCCCTCTCACAATGTATTTCCCACTAGATTGTAACCTTGTCCGTTTTCCCCACTGCTCTGAGTTGCTTCGGTAGTTTTGATGTCCTATTTACATTGCACTTTCAAGGACTGACCTCAAGCCTGGCACATGAATAAGTGGGAGGCCAGAACGAAACCGACATTTTACCTATTGATTCCCTCTATCAAACAAGATTGTCTCTCGCCAACAGGGATGCTCCGTTCAAGGGTGTGGTAATTATCTTCCTCCCCTGTGACCCTCCAAACAAGCTCTCTGGCATGCAGTGGATTCTCAATGAATGGCTGCTAAATATTTGAATGAATTAAGGATCCGCACCATTCTTCTCTCATATCAAGCCACATTGTCATCCCCAGGCCTGCCATGCCAGCCCTGCCCCCAGGGCACGCTAAAATGGCAAATGAGGCTGGGTGTGGTGGTGGGCACCTGTAATCCCAGCACTTGGGAGGCTGTAAACAGGAGGATCACTAAGAGTCCAGTCTACACAGTGAAACCCTGTAGGCCCTGTAGACCTTGTCCTAAATACAAAAAAAAAAAAAAAAAAAAAAATCCACATTGTCTGTTGTCAACCTTATCTTCTGTAGACTCCTGATATCTCTGAATTCTCACAAACTAAGAAAATGTCAACATTTACTAGGCATTCAATAAATGTACAGTAAACACTTGCAGATGAATAAACAAAGGAATTGTTTTCATGTGTGTTTCTTAAAAAATATGCACATCCCCCTTTAACATTTATCCTGACATTGCTCTGTCTACCAAGCTGCTAAGGAACTGGCTTGTCTCTGAGAAATGGAATCTTGACAAGGCAGTGATGGTTGAAATTTCTTTTTAAATTTTATCTGTGATTGGTGTGGTATTTTTAAATTGTAGGCTTATGTTTTAAAATTTCAGGCTGATATAAGAATAACCTTTTTGGGTAGCTTTGAGCTATGATTTAATGGGTATAAAACTGTTGTCTGCAAGGAAAAACTACCTTGTTTCTATATTTGAGTGCTTGGTAAATATGAATTTAAAGGGTCTGGGGAGATAGCTCATGGTCTAAGTACCTGCCTGGGAAGTGCAAGTTCGATCCCCAGTACCGCATGCCATGCTAGCCCTCAGAACCTGGGGGCGGGAGGTGCAGGCCAGCAAAACTGGGCATAATAGCACTTGCCTATAATCCCAGCACCAGGGAGACTGGGACAGGAGGATCGCTATGAGTCTGAGCTGCATAGCAAGACCCTGTGCCAAATAAATAAATAAAAGATTAAAAAATTATAGGAGTTGAAGCATGGACCCTATGTGAGACACCGTGCTGTAGCTGAGGAAAAGTGTCTGGTGCTCCCCATAGCCCACAGTGAGTGCTCCGTGGATGTTGTCCTCGTTATTTGTGCATTCCCGCTCAGGCCCGAACGTGTGATGGAAGATCCCTGTCTCTGGAATTTTAGAGAAGTACACAGTTTTAGTTGTTACCACTAATACTCTTTCCTGAGCCTCCATGTGGTTGCAGCCTGACTGCCAGGGGCTCACAGGACGTACTTCATTTCAGTCAGGCACAAGTCATGTAGAAACTTCAAGTTGGGAAGCATTTTGTCTTTCCCAATCCCTTAGGTCAGTAGTGTTTGTTTGTTTGTTTGGTTGGTTGGTTGGTTGGTTGGTTGGTCAGTTGGTTGGTTGGGGTTATTGTTTTGCTTTGGGTTTGGAACATATTTTTGTCAGTCCAGAGATCAAACCCAGGCTGTTGTACGAGCTAAGCGAGCGCTCCACCATCATGCTTTACATCTTAGCCCTTCCACACATTTACCAGTAAAATGGTTCTGATCAAACATCCCCAATATGAGTATAAGCATTTATACATTGTATATATGTATTACCATAATACTGTAACTATGTTAATTGTAAAATCCATCAAAACTGAAATTTAAAGGGTGTCATAAGAATGAACAGAAGTAGAATTACTATGTTTTCTTCTTCTATACGCTGGATTGTCTCATAACTGGCAAGCTGGCTAAGCTAGAAACAGCTTATTTCTAGAAAGTGTGAAGGGAATAAGATTCTCTAAAGTCAGGTCACCAAGTACAGCTGGTCCCATCTCGCCCATAGGCACTATCCTTTCAATAAATTCTATCAAAAGCAATTGGCTTTACTTTTAAGAAAAAAAATGATAACTCAGTGATTGAACGATAGCTTAAAGGCTTTATTTCCAACAGAACCAGCTTTTTATGGTCATGTTAAATGCACTATTTCATTCTGGATGGAAAGACCTAGGCTGCTGATCATATCGTAGGATAAAGAAAAAAGCAATAAAGCTGCAGTACATCCTTGAAGCACGTCAGACTGGCCTGGTAAGGAAAAGGAGGGCTTTGACTTGTAAGGCTACAAACACGAGCAACTTGAATCTCCGTCCCACAAAATCAGTAGTCATCATCACGCACTTTGCAAAATGCTTAAGACTTGTGATAATAACAAGTGCTGCAGTGGCATTCTGTGTGATTCTCCACTCTGGTATGTCCCGAAACTATGGCCTAAGGGGGAAGGGCAAGAATGAGAGAAAGACAAAGTTGGGAAGCGCTCAGTAAGATTATAGCCATCTGAGCTAAGTCGATGATTGCTACATTGGCATACCCTTTCTTTCTCTGTGGTATTTTCACTCTGAAAGCTTAGATTCACATTTTCTAACCTGTCCTTCCTTCTGAATAATTCCAGCCTGGACTCCCAAGGTGACTGACTCTTTTTATTCTTTCTTCTCCTTTTCTCTTGCAAAATGGTGTTGGGAGTTAAGCCCAGAGCACTGTGCATGCTAGATAGTGCTCTGACTCTTATCCATACCCCAATCCCTAAAAACCCAACCAATTGATTTCGTGGTGGTGGGATCAAACTGGGGAAGGCAGTGCTCCATCACTGCGCTACCCCCAATCCCCCTGGCTCTTTTTGAAAACTTCACTTTTTATTGACATAGAATATTTGTACATATTTATAGGATAAGGTGAGATAATTGGTCACATATATGCAATGTATAATAATCAAAGCAGAGTACTAGCACTTTCATCTTCTTAAACATTTATTTCTTTGTATTGGGAAACTTTGAACACATTTTTCTAGTCCTCTTTAAAACATAAAATGAATCGTGGTGACCTATTTTCACCTGTCTGTGCTAGGAAACACTAAAAAATTTATTCTTGCTATGTAGCTGTATTTGGGCTCAATATTCAGTCTCCCACTATCCTCCATCTCCCTGACCTTTCCTAGCCTCTAGTGACCACTCTTCTGTTCTATAATTTCATAATATTGGTTTGTTTACCTCAGCGTATTCTTTTAATTAAAGACCACAGATGCAGCCCTACCCATATAAATGCCAGCAGAACATGCGTCATCAGACTCATGTGGCATTGAAGCCCCTGAGTGTGCTCCACAAGCCTTGTCTCTGCTGGGCTGCTAGAAAGTTTCTGGTGCCCTTATTTTTACCTTGGTAAATGCTTTGGCCACACAGCAAGTGGCCTCAGAAGTGATGTTCTTCGGAACCAGCATTGTCTTCTTGGACCTTGCTGGGGTGGGGTACGCCTGGGAGAAGCAGCAGCCCATGCACTGATAAATGGGGGCGCCTGCCCTGGAGAAGTATTTGTTTTCCTTTAGCTTGCACTCAGGGCAACCTATCAGATGAAAAAGACAAGGGGTAAAAAACTCAAAAAGGATTCAAAGAGAAGCTATGAATATTTTCTTATTACAATAAAAATATTTTTGCATTTGAAATAAAGAGAGGGCTGGGGATATAGCTCAGTGGCATAAGCACCTGTTTGGCAAGCACAATGGTCTGCAGTTTGATCCCCAGTGCTGCAAGAATAAATCAATCAATAAATAAGAAATCAATCTTTTTAGCTATATGTTATTATTCATATAGAATATCTATTTGTACAGTTACCTTCCTGGGAAAATAATTTTTGCAGACTTACATGGGAATCTTAGTTACAATAGTTTCTCTCCCTTTGAGCAAGGGTGGCCTACCCCAGGGCTAACTGTATGCTTAGAGAGAACACAAAACTTAACAGATGAAAATGCAATGTGTACCTGAAAGAATTTTGCCCAGAGGCAAAATGTTTCTCTCTTTAGGATATGCTATAATTTTCCCTCATAGAAACTTGAAATATTGGCAGAGAAAAATATGTCAGAATTAAGAAACCTTGGTGAATGTACAGAGCCTGATATTGGATCAGACATCTGCACTTGAAACATAGGATTAAAATATTACCATTTATCTAAAAAAAAAAAAAAACTATATCCAATAGTAGTGCAGTTTCAAAGGGAATAGAATTACTTTAGCCATCATATGAGATTTATTCAAAGAATAGAGCAAAACTAGTTTGCTGCCTAAAAATGATTTTTTTCTCATGCATTAACTGATGTGAAAATATATCTATAAGGGCAATGTTAAAATCTCAAGACTTCTGGGAGAAGTGGAGGTGGGGAACTGAGCTAACAAAATAAGAATTCTCTTCTTATAAAACTCAGGTAAAGAATAATAAGGAATCCATTTCAGATGAAAATGAGAAGGCTGCTATTAAAATGGATTTTTATGACACTATATTCACTGTACATTTTATGAATCTAATTTAATTTCATGTTCATAATCTACAAGTGCCTAGATACATATCCAGCAGTGAAGATTTACCACATTAGAAAAGGAGACAGAAAGACAATTAATAGAATTATTGACGTACATCTAGCAATGGGTACTAGCCTTATTATTGGCACCCACGTTTGGCCACATACCCAGCATCGCAAACTCTCTGTCAGGAAAAGATTGGAGAATGTGCAGACAAACACACAAGGTGGCCAGGATGGCAGCTGCATATTTTCTGTAATAATCCATGGCCCTCCTGCAAAAAAAGACATGGAAGAAGCTAAAGCAGCAATAATTAATCTCAGCTCGCCTGTTATAACGCGATCCAGCAATTTTAACACTCCTGCCAACGGTAATTACTGTTTGACCCCGCTGCATCCAGCTCCCGACTTGTTCTTAAGCCATGTAGATGGAAAACAAGTTCTCTTTGAGGAAGAAGAATTAAATCTTCCCATTTCCCACATGAACATATAGAGTTGGTCTTGATAGTAACAATAATTACCTTTTTTAAGTATACCACCCCCTGTTGCTGTCTTCTGCCACCATGAACTGTTGCCCTCTGCCACACCTCCCCGCCTTACAGCCACCTGATTGGCCCTAAAACCTCCATGAGCTGCGAGCTAAGTAAAACTTTCTTCTCTTACTTTTGGGCATCATGTATTTTGTCTCAACAACAAGAGAAATGGGTTAAACCTCTGTTAAAAGAATGAAAATAAAAGATAAAGACATGGAAAATATGTATAAGCCCCATACTCAACAAAAGATTAGAATCTAGACTATGAAGAGAACTCTCAAAAACACAACACACAAAAAGTTTAATTATAAAATGGACATTGTGTTAAAGAGGATTGATAGATGGAAAATCGACCCATAAAAAGTACTCAACAACCTTAGCCACTAAGAAAATGTAAAGTAAAACTATAATTGACAAAATGGCTAAGATTTTTTAAAAACCAAATGTTGGCAGGGACACAAAAAATAATAATAACTTAGATGTTGTTGAGAATGTAAACTGGTACAGTCACTCTGAAAAATAATTTGGTAGTTTCCTATAAAACAAAGCATGTACTTATGACTCAGCAGTTGTACTCTTAGACATTTGTTTCAGAGAAATGGAAAACTATTTTCACACAAAACCTGTGTGTGAGGCTGACCAGATAGCTCAGGGGACTAAAGCATCTGCTTAGGCAGAGCACAGCAGTTGGGGTTCCATCCCTGGCCTGCCCTGCCAGCCCCACCTGAGGGGCGTGCTGAGACAGCGATTGAGACTAGGCATGGTGGTGCGCGCCTGTAATCCCAGCACTAGGAAGAATGAAAATAGGAGAATCACTCCAAGTCCCATCTACACAGTGAGACTCTGTAGACCCTGTAGACCCTGTCCTAAATACAGAAGAAAATAAAATAATGTATGTTATTTGTATTCACATACGTGGGTTTATTGTTGTTCTTTTAATGAATAAATATTTTCAAAACTTTTTCTAACAATTTCTAAACCACTCAATATTAATAGAGATAACCCCATAAACAAATGCTCATTGGGCTTTTCAATTATTTTTTTAAATGTTAATGGATTCTGAGATCAAAAAGTTGGAAAACTGCTGCTCTGATTGACAAAGCCATAAGGGAAATTTCAGAATTAAATTGGTTTCTTTTTTAAGCTAGTATCACTTTTGTGCTTTGATGTTGTAACTCATATATTATAAAAATTCAACCATTATGCAGTGAACAATTACATTCAGAATTAATTCAGAGAGAAACATTTATAACAAGACTTTAAAATGTGAAAATTTAAAATCAATGCAAATTTTACACTTTGTGTTATGACAAAGTAAAAAGAATATTGAAAAAATGGACCCAAAGTAATTATTGCTGTAGCTTACAATACCAGAGAGTGTGTTCTTTCTTTGTCTTTTTGCTAAAAGGACATTAACAAAGAAGAAAAAGATAAACTCTCAAATTCTAAATGTTTTTCAGAGCTTTTTTTTTCCTATGCTGGGGATCAAACCCAGGGCCTCCCATCAGTACTCCACTGCTGTGCTGTCATCCTCATGACCTTCATGGGTTTTTTTTTCCTATCTTAGAATTTGGAAGAAATAATTAAGAATTGAGGCAAGAATAATACATTCAGCTGCTATCTCGTGATAATATGCCAAGTCTAAAATCACATCGCCTTTGGTATTCCAAGAGAATAATTTACCACTCTGTAGGCCCCACCCATCCAACCTCAAACTAATCTTCAGGTCTCCTGCCACCTTCCACGTCAAAATAAGATAAATCCAAGAAAATACATGTTTTTTCAAATTGACATGAATACCCTTTCTCCACCTTTTTACTACTCATTCTTTAGAGGTCTCTAAGAAGTGTCCAGGATGTTTTTCTCATCCCTAAGCCACTGCCTTCACTTCTCACTAAACTCTTAAATAATGTCCCATGATCCAGCCAATCAGGTACATGTACAAGCTTCATAAGTATAAATCCCTACCCATCTAATCTTCCACCAATCTAACATAAGGCACAAGATAGATGTTCAGTAAAATTATGTTTAATTGAGACTTTAGGACAGCAAGAATATCCAAGTTGTAGACATAGAGCTGTCACTCACAGCAAGGGACAAGATAACCCTTGCATGACAACTAGAATCACTGTTCAGTGAAATAGAATATGTTCAGATAAATTCATCAGAGAGCATATTCTACCTTAGCTATATAATTTTTAGCTGAACAATACTTTATGTGAATCTGTAAGTTTTAAATATGCCATGAGCAGATCCATTTTGTAAGTCATATGAAGTCCAAATAACACATTAATATAATCAGGGTTTAAATTGGGTTTTTCTTGTTGTCTATCAAGTTTACCTTCTTTTTTTTTGTTTTTGTTTTTGTTTTTGTTTTGTTTTGTTTTTTGGCAGAACCAGAGGTTGAACTCAGGCCCTTGTGCTTGCCAGGGAAGCACTTATTCTACTGAGCTATCTCTCTAGCCCCTGTCTATCAAATTTAGATTCTTTAAATAATTTGATTGTGAGGAAATTATAGCATTCTTGAAAAACATAAAAAATATGATTACTATAACTTATCATTATTAATTTTGCTTATTGTGATATGATTAATGTATTAAGTGATTTAATAAAATAGATTAACACTCTATCAATAAGATATAGATATAGATATCATAGAGGCACCCCATATATCACACAGATCCATATATATCCCCATGTATACTAAATAAGTTTCCAGGAAAGTTAGAAATGCTTGAAATAATGTGACATACCACCCTTAACTTGCAAAGACATTGTCATTGCTGTATATTGCCATTGCTGTACATTGCCACAGAGGGCAGGGTATGTGGTTGTGCTGGTGGTGACAATAGCTGCAGTGACTCACTTGCACTCTCCATACCAGGAAACCCAAGTGACTCATAGCACATTTCTGAGATGACTGGCTAGGACTGGAGACATAATGCTATTTTAGCCAAACAGATTAAATCTAACTGACATCTACAGAGCTGATGCAAGTGCCATCTCACAGAGACCAAATAAGTTGCCTTCAAAAGGAGTCCTTGAAATAAAAGCCTTGAATCCCAGCACACTGAGTAGCAAGAGGCAGGCATTCATCATTAGCTTATTAAGTAGGGAATAGGCCAGCAAACAGGTTAGCATGCTTGCCTGATCCAGAAGAGATAGAAATAGTGTGGCTTGATGAAAATTTTAAGACAAAAAGTCTCAAAGGAAAGTGAAATGTTCATTTCCATCCTATCAGATTCCACAAAGCAGGTCCCTGACCCTCTGCCTCATCTCTGCCTCCTCCTGAGTGACCATCTCTGTCTCCAGGTGGATAACTCTGAAGACCCTGAGACCCAGGGGTCCAAACACTTCCCTTGGAGGAAGCCAGCTACTAGCTCTCTTTCCTCATGTGCCCTCATTTCAGAAATGTGTATCGTCTTACGTGCTCTAAAACCCCAAGCAGGCACTGTCTTTCATGATCCCGTATTCTCCTGTTCTTCCAAACAGAAACTCACATGTTGCTCTCAGTGACCTTGAGTGTTATTAACATACTCATCAATGTTGTTTTCTCCAAAGTTGGTGAAAAAGGATGGCTGAAAAACCCCAGAATCCATTGTTTAATGTAGATACTGTCTATCTTATAAAAGGATGAGAGCTTTTAGATACTTTGACAAGAGCTCAAAGGCAATAATATACAAAATTGAAAGGTCCAAATCCAGTTGAAGACTTTAATAAAACCTGTTACAGGCCCAGTACTGTGCCAAACATGGGTGATGGAAAAATGAGTAAGTTTCTTGCCACCTGAAGAGCCCAGAGGACAATGAAGAACACATTACAGAGACAAATAGCTAGGAATTGAAATAAATTTTATAATAAAAGTATTTGTCCACATTGAGACAGGTAGACTGGGAAGAAGAAAACGGACAGATAAAAACTAATGAAAATTATGAACGTGTACCTGATAGAGAAAAAACAATAATAAACATAGTCTATCATTTTGACATTGATTGAGGAGCACGATGTACTCACCAGTTTGGATAAGTTGCCCGGTAAATATAGCTACAAATAGAATATCCTCAAAGGAAAACAAGGCCGAGTGAAATCACACATTTTGGCATCGGCTGCAGTGTTCCGAACAGGGTTTCTATAACAGTGTTTTCTGCTGTTCACAGCAACCCCCCACCACCAGGGTCTCACGACACGGTTTGACTTGTAGTGATCCTGCTGTCTCAGCCTCCTTATTACTGGGACTAGAGGCCAGCGCCACCACACCCGGCCCCAGAGCCAGCACAGCGTGTAGTACTGGAGATGGAACCTGGAAGCTTGAGCTCGTCAGGTAGGCGTTTATGCCATCAAGCTATCATCCCAGCCCTCTGCTCCCAACATTTAGAGCGAGCCAACTTCTTTTCATGAGAAGATAATTTTTAAAGGGAGTAGGATCTCATATGAAAGAAATACACATATAGCTTCTAAGGCCTACAAGAATGAGGCTCTCCATAAAGAAAAATAAAATAAAAGGTGACTTTTAAAATATTTACTTCAAGCCCAGGGAAATAGCTCAGTGGCATAAGTGCCTGCCTGGCAAGTACAAGGTCCTGAGTTTGATCCCTGGTACCAATCAATAAATAAATAAATATTAAAGTACAATATTTGCTTTAAAAAGAAAGAAAAAGTAGGCAGTATTCAGAAGAAAACTGAAAGACTCATAAGATTATAAAAACTATTTCAATTCATTTATTCCCTTCTAACGGTCATATTTTGGGACCTTTTCCTTCTTAACTGGCTAAATTTGGGGGGTTTATAAATACATACTCTATTTTTTTTATTATATTTATTGCAGGGTCTACAGGGTCTCACTACACAGATCGGATTCATAGTGATTCTCCTGTTTTCAGTCTCCCAGGTGCTGGGATTACAGGTGTGCGCCACCGCGCCCAATCTCGGTCTCTATCTCAGCGTGCCCCAGGGGCAGGGCCGGCATGGCATGGCATGCTGGGAATCAAACCCCTCTAACTGTTATTTTAAAACTCCACAATGTTAATATAATTATGTAATTAAAATCTTGTCTTTTCCATTACCCTTTCAATTTTCTAGCACATCAGCATTTTAAAAATACTTTTCTGCATACTAAATCTATATTGAAAAAGTTCAGTAAGAAACTTTGATAAGACAAACTCTAAAAAATATTCTTTTGGAGGAGAAATTCTAATGCTTGTTGTTTTAGAAGTCAATGAAATTTATTATAATAATCTATTCTATTAGGCATAAAACAATAGACAACATTAGTCTTTCCAACTGTGAAGTAAAACCTCCAAAGGCCAGAAAAGTACTATGAGGCACAATATTATGGTAGCATAATAATCTTTCTTGTAGCTTACTAAATTTGTGTGTTCTGTTTTTTGCATTTACTTAAGTTGCTTTGAAACACCAAGTACCATCCACATCTGAAAACACTACAGCCTCTGGAGCAGATGTAGCTAAATGGACCAGACCTTGCCTAGCAAACTCTAAGGCCCCAGATTTAATCCCCAGTGCAGGATAAAAGAGATGCTATGCTGTGCCGGCCCCGCCCCGCCCTGGGGGCGTGCTGAGGTGGTGACTGAGACTGGGCATGGTGGTCCAGTAGACCCTGTCCGAAAATACAGAATCAATAAATAAATAATAAACACTAAATCACAAAAACAGGTTTAACTCACCTGAAGTTTCCAGTAATAAGGTAAACAGAACTATATTATTGATTAATCAATCCTGGCACTTTATCTAGTAAGAATACTTTTCTGTGATTAGAAATAGCGGAGGAGCTGCAAAGTCCCCTTGTTGGCTGCCCTGAAGTCTTCACTGCAGGTTACACTTTCTGAAGACAGCCACAAATATATTTCTCGGCATGTGACCTTGCCACTCCTATACCAAAAAGCGGTATGTTTATCGTTGCTCCTCTTTTGATCCACCCAAGGCCCTATATGTGCCCGCCTGTACGGCTAGAACTTGGCAGGAATAACATTGTGCACCTTGTGGGTGTAGCCCTTAGCTGGCCTGGGCGTTTCTGCCTTGGGTCTCCTAGAAACCAGATGATGCATAATAAATGCCTCTATTCTGGGACCACCATGAGATAACATGTTCAAACCACACGGAGAGACCCTGGAAGATGAGACGTCACACGGAGAAGAAAAGGGTCCAAGGAACAATATGGGATTAGGGGTGTGAACAACACAGTTCATATAGTTTACTGCAGATTAAAGTAAATATTTTATCATCCCTACTGAGCTGTCAAATAACTCTGGCCTCAGCCCCTGACTGCCCTGCCCCAGAAATCCAAATTAAAATCTGCCCTGCTGATCCCAGTCTTTCAAAGGACTTTCAGAGACAATAATGATTTGTTGCTTTATTTGCTCAGGTTTCAGGTAGTCTGATGCACCAAAGCAAGAGACAACTGAAAGAACTGTTGTCTGTTACAATAAAAATTTCTCAGAAGTCAGAAAAAGGTAATCCATAATCTTGCCTCTTTACTTCCTCCCTGTACTTTTCTCTCGTGTTAGGGAGGGCAGGGGCAATAGAGTGAGTATCCATATAACACTCAGTTAATCTCTTAAGAAATGTAACGAAACATTAAAAAAAAATTGGAGTTAGGGTTCTACATAGCATCTGCAATACTGGATTTAGTAACAATTACATCTTATATTTTAAAAATAACACCTACTGTGAATTGATCACCTTTGTGTGCTAGACATTCTTGGGGGCAACTTGAACACACAAATACACTGAGCCTATGTTGTTCTATTTTCTTTTTTATGAACAAAGAAATTCTTGAAGTAAGCAATACCTTTCGCATAGCTGGTTACTGCAGATCCAAGACTGTTAAATGTCTCTTCACAATCAGTTTCATACTCCAAGGTCTGAGCCACACTTCACATACTGCCTTCCCTTACACACACACACACACACACACACACACACACACACACGCACACCCCTTATTCTGGGGGCCTAAAACAGATCCTGGAGACTGCTACACTCTGAGCCACACCATCAGCCCAATCTTTTTTTTTTTTTAAAGCAACATCATTGTGTCGCCAGATTAACTATAATTTGCCCTCGTAATTGTTTTAGATATCATTGGACTTCAGGGCTCCAGAACTGTCTTTAAAAAGCTATTACATTTAGATAAATAGGGTTCGCTCAGGCCTTTACTTATGATAAATTATGAAGACTACTGTTTGGTGGGGACAAGGGAAAGGGAAAAGAGCTTTGACTTTCACATTCATTCCTTTGTTTGGTTCTCTTCACGCATCTAAGAAGAAAGCTTTATACAGCGTCTATTTCAGAGGAGGACACTATATGCTAGAAAATTTAAAAGATTTGCCAGTCACTCAGAAAGCAATCTAGTCCTAAGGCTGCGCCCCTCCACTTGTGCTGCCTCTGTGGTTAGAAATGAGTCAGTATCTTCCTTTATGACTGGTTCACATCTGTGTCGTGCTATCACAGTTGTTTTTCCTAACTGGACTCCTAATGTTGCCTCGATTCTACTCCTAGTCCAGCCATGTCCCACCTCCTCTTATGTTTCAGAGCATGAAAGATGCTGAACCATTTCTACACTGCCCTCTGGGAGTCTGATGAATCAAGGAATTGTGGATGACTTTGTGTAACATTGCAGAGCTGCTGCTGCTGCAGTGTCATAAGCCAAAACCACAATTTCAAGGACCTCAAGTTGGTGGCAAACTAGTCCAGGATTCACAATCTTCAAAAAAATTGGAGCTTGGGGGATATCATTGAATTAGTGTTAGGTTAAGGAATTATTTGAAAAACATCTTCAGAAACTTGCCAAGATTTCTCTTTAAATGTAAAATGCCTTACTTACGGATGAATAACAAGAGCTTTGGAAACTTTGGAACTTTAGAGACAAAAATGCCTAGGGATGAAATGGAGCCAAATTGTATCAGGCCCACGGTGCTTCACATGTGTCCAAATCCCATTTGCCAACACTAATTATGAGGGACAAAAATGCACTAACTGGGCTGGCGGGATAGCTCAGCAGTCTGAAGCACCTGCTTAGGCAAGCTTAGGCAAGCGCAGGGACCATGGTTCAATCCTCGACACCACATGCCACACCAGCCCCACCTCCAGGGAAGGCTGAGCTGGCCACAAAAAATAAAATAAGATAAAATAAAATACCAATATCTCTTTTAAAAAAAAGTGCACTATTTTTTTCTAAACTCAAGTTCTCAACCTGAGACCACTTAAACTAGTGCTCATGAAAAAGTAACTTCAAGGGGCCAGGGAGATGGCTTAGTGGAATAAGCGCTTCCCTGCCAAGCACAAGGGTCTGAGTTCAATCCCCAGTTCCACCAAAAAAAAAGTAACTTCAGCCATCCTCACTGTGGGGAAGGAAGTTCCAGGACACCTCCCTTCCTTCCTGCCACTGACAATATACTAAAATCTTTGTATGCTCGAGTTAGTCACTTTATATGACCTACATACTGTAAATTATACACTGATTTATGGTGGCATATATTATAAATCATATCTACATTGCTTTTCATAGTTAGTATACTATAAATGCTACGTACATATTTGTCATACTATATTTAGGGAATTACAAGGAAAAAAGTTTATGCCTACAAATTTTTTTTCAATCTAAAGTGACTAGTAAATCCTCGGCTGCAGAAATTGCATTTAGGGAGGGTCAGCTACAAAGACAGAAAAAAAAAAATTCCAGAATCTCACTGGAATTACCCAATTATACATGGGCATATAATTTATTATTGTAGGTCATCTATGACATCTGAAGAAATACTACCAACTGTTATTATTTCTTTAGCATTTTATAAAAGAAAAGTAGAAATAATATTCAAGAAATTCCAGTGTTAGTATCCAAGCCCATATGAGAATATTTACTCAAAATGTAACCAGGAGCTGCGATCATTCTCCTGAGCAAGTGAGTTGCTTTACTGCCTGTGAACTTGAAGATACAGTTATGCATCATTTAAAAACTAATGATAAAACAATATCAGCAGTATAATGTCTACTTGCCCTCTGCCTAGCTGCTGGAAGCCACTCAAAATAATGTCTTTCAAATGACATCCATTAATTCTTGAAGAAAATTTTTAAATATTGACTAGCACTCTAGCATATCAGCAGGAGACATTTACTTTCTGGCTTTCGTTAGATAAGAGCACAATTTTGTGCATTCCTCCCAATTCAGTCATGAGTGATGAAGAGACAATGAGTGAAAGCCTGTCTAATTTTCTTCTAACTAAAGTTCAGCATTGACTCTTAAAGCTCCCCTATATTCTTAACTACTTTTGCTTCCCAATCAAATCCCTCCAAATTATTTCATTTGAATTACCTTTTGCACAGTGTGTTCAGGGCAGTCAATTGCAGGTCTGAAGAGAAATTTTAACTTTGTCTTGTGATTTCTCAGGAACTGCAGATGATAAAATCCTCACCTGTCTTTTATACCAGCAGAGTAATAAAAAACTGCTTGCTCCCATCTGCTCCTAAGTCCAGGGATCAACTGTAAATTTCAATCAGTGATTGAATGGTACTTGGTGTAATTACCATGACATCAATTTGATCTGATCTAGTTTCAATCTTTGGAACATTTTTGAGCCCCAATTGGTGGTGACTACAAGGTCAGTTTATAAAGAGAATGTACATGGTCATTTTCTATGTAATTTTATCGAGACTTACACAAAACATCCTGAAAATTGACACTTTCCTATAAACATGGTTCTAAGAGTATCACATTTAATTAGCTAAGTAGCTGATGTTTTCATAAAACAGGAGAAAAGCCATAAACTTCGGGTAACAGATAGGGAGCGTTTCAAGGCTTACATTATTCCATTAGGAAATAGAAAAATGAAACATGCCTATTTGGACCTTATGAAAATTAATGTACATCTGGGTTTCATTAAAGATGCCTGTAAAAGGTGCAAGAGTTCTACGGGGATGGCGCGGTGCTCCACATATGCAACTCTTTTCTCTGACGTCACTGTTGTAAGGTTCAGATTCTGTTTAAGTAGACAATACGTGTTATGACCTGGCAACTGTGAGCCGCTTAACACCCAGGCCGCCCTAAGTCCAGTGTCTTCCTAAAACCTACACAACTCTTAAGGCTGTGTCTGCAATTATAATCCTCACAGTGATGGTGACCTTTAAAGGTTCCTTATCTCATTTGGTTCTAATTAACACAACTTCCGGAGGAGATGCAAACTACCGGGGAACCGGACAGGAAAGAGCTTAGAGGAGTCATGGGACATGTAAAGAGACGCTCCATTAATAGAAAGAAGCTGCCCCAGGGATGCTGCTCAGTGGTAGATCGCTTGCGGTAGGGGGAGGTTGATTAAAAAAAAAAAAAAAGCAAAGTTATTCTGTTGTTTATTTTCTGTGATTAATTTGTGCAAATCCTTATATCTTTTTAGATTTCCGTTATCTGTTTCTAGTATCGACTCTACCCAATCATCTTTTCCTGGTGATAATTAATATCCCTATTTTTGTAAGACCAGAATATATTTATTGGGGGAAAGAAAGCTTCTGTCCAAGAGAGAGAAACAGGGGTCCCAAGTGGGTTGCCAAAGACCCTGCTATATCTAGGGATATTTATAGAGAAAGTCCATGAAGTGAGGTGGGTTCAAAGTGGGGAAACGGGGCTGGTGAGATGGCTCAGTGGTCTAAAGCACCTACTTAGAACAAGCTTAGCAAAGCACAGGGAC